CCGCCCCCTGGCGCGGCCCGGGCCCGGGCGGTAAACGGCAAAAACCCAGCAAGGCGAGCCCGGGAGGCGAAGGCACGGAGTACCAGCGCCCCGGTGACCGCTCAGACTGGAAACCGGTTCCCAATATAACGGCTCTGGGGCGGGAAGAGCCCCGTGGGCAAGGAGGTCTCGCGGGCAGGGAAGCGAAATGAGCTTTAACACTTCAAGAACCGCAAAACCGCTGGGTGCTCTTACGTGGCGTCTTCTCCGCCCAAGGACGGTGCGTGACACCGACCCAGGCTTGGGTGCGGGGACGTCAGCCCAGAACCGCTGCGAGCACAGTGCTTTCTGGTAGGATTCCTCATGGGATAAATGGCTCTTCCCCTCTCACACGGCACCTTTCTTCTGAGAAAATTAACAATAAAACCAGGTGACGGTAAATTTCTGTTTCTTAAACGAGGGCAGTCCCAGGAAATCAAAAACATGGAGGTGGGAGGTAATTTTTTTGAGAGAGTTGCGTTAAATACATATTATCCCCAGCAGTATCTTCTGCTTATGCTTTGAGTTGTCACTGCCATCACTGAGCTGGTCCGAGATGGAACCACACCTTCAAACCTGCTCTGCCCTGTTGCGACGACTACTCCCTCCTGGAGGAAAAGGCGGGAGCTGTTTCTCTGAAAAAGCACAGGGGGAAGAGGCAGCGGACTAAGGGCAAGAGGACTTCTGGCATGGCCTTTTTCATATATAATAGCCAAAAAAAGCTGTGGGTGATCTTTCCCTTTTATTATAGTAGAGCGGCTTAAAAAGCATCGCCGAGTACAGAGCGAGAACCTGAGCAATTGACTTCTGTTAGAAACGCACGTAAGACAGAACACTTTGCAAGAACTATCAAGAACAGTGGACATTTTTTTCACCTGCTATGGCTTGGATTCGTGGTGTTTTTTCTCCACATTGGGCACCAATTAAAAAAAACACCAAACGAATTCTTAGTGGGAGGGGTTTAGCAACTTCTCACTCTGGCAGGAAATAGTGACACAATTTTCCAAGAAGTGATCAAACAGGAAAGCTACCAGGAAATGGAGAGGCACCATCCAGTCACAAGACCAAGAACTACAGACTACCGATTTCAGAGTTCGCTGGCTGAGGCAGCTCTGAATCGCAGCCGTCTCATGCAAAGGGACCACTTACCTACCTCGCAAGGACAACGGCAGCTCCCGACGTACGCTGTCCACCCTGGAGGCTCCCATGTCCTACACCGAACTGCCACAGACTATGGTTTTGCATATTACAGTGCTATGGATTCACCTCACAACATTCACAATAGAATTGGCAAAATCCAGCGGCTGCCTCAGAGCAGTTAAGCCGTCCCTGCAGCGGAAGGAAGAACTTCCCACAGCAAGGACGGCTGGAGGGGCGGAGGGGGGATCAGCAGAGCCACCCCAGCGCCAGGCAACCCCACTCGTGAGGCAAAGCCTTCAACCTCTCAGGAACTAAATTTCAGTGAGTTCACCTCCCGTTGAGTTCAGCTTTCAGGAAAGCAGCACAACAGGTAATCCTCCTCAAAGTGGTGGTGTAAGAATATTATTAATGATCATCAGTAACACTTATTAATTATATCGGGTCTGACTGTTTTTGAGATGCACCAGCTCACAGTGATTCTCGTGCAAGTCCACAGACTTCACTAAAACAGTACATAAGGAGGACTAACCACACTGGTCATGAGAAGTAGCATTAGCATACTGAATCGCTAAGCAAGAATGTGATTGCAATTACTACACTTGATTGTTCAACTTTATTTATTTTGATATTTCTGCATCTGATTACATGATTTTATACTATAAAAGCACTTTGTATTTAGAGCTCACCTGTCATGGTGCACTTAGGTCACAACATGTAAGTGAGAACACCACATGCAGCATAGGAGTTCAAAGCTTAAAAGGTAGATATCAGTCATTACCTGGAAACCTCTGGGAAATTCTATTTCTATCTTCTTGCTCTCCTCGTTCTTGAAGTACTGAGCTCTTCTTTGACTGAAAAACAGCAGTAACTGCGAAAGAGAGATACAAACATAAACAACAGAGTCTTCTGAAATTTTATGGTTGATCATTCTATCAGTCTGAAAATACTGTTTTGTGATCAACCTACAGTGTTCTGCCACCTGCAGTCAGTTAGGAACTTTGAAACTCAAAACCCACCATCAAACAATCAATCCATGGCTGTTCTAACGTAGATGATAGAGAAGTGTGTGTACTCTACGGGGCAAGAGCAACCTCCACCTTGAATTGCACCTCCAGGAGAATTCAGTCATATGCACCTATCTACCAACAGGTCTTTGACACATGTGAGAGCTACCCACTTACTATCCACATACCGGTAACAATGCGTGTCCAACAATGCCTCTCAGGGCATTAAATCCCGTGTTAGCACTTGTCAAAGCACCACAATATCATCCGATAGAAGCATATAGGGATAGCACAAACCACTCTGCAGGACCCATCACTGTGGGACTCAAAGGAAGAAAGAATGGTGTGCACCAAAACAATAGACTCCCCAAGTTTCTAGTTTAGGGGCCTAGTATTTCCCACTGAAAAACACACGCATAGAGTGAGTAACAATACAATTTAAAATACTGAACTTGTTGATGACCTCACAGGATTATTTACAAATAAAATAGATCACAAACCGATTGAAAACATTTTCTGTTCCCTCAGATATCCCTCTTTTCCTGTAAATGGAAGTACAAAAATAAAAATGCCTTTCCTTTTCTTCCCCCAGCAAAACAATCCTTAGAACAATTAACATAACGGACTGTCAAAAGTGTTCAAACCAAAGTGACAAATGCAGTGAGTGGCAGGCAAGCCCAGCCCGACCCACCAGAACACTGCATGCTGGATTTGTCATGCAAATCAAAATGGAACCTGACATGCTCTTTGTTCATTTTCCTTTCAAAAAATCTACTTTAAATGCCTCCCATGTGCCTTGTTTTGGAAGCTGACATTCCAAATGCATCAGGGCAAATTAAGGGAGGGATCCATTACCAATAAAGACGTTGCGATACAGAGTTTCAACAAATCTTTTCGGGAAGACTGGAGAGACAACTGCTGCAGCTTGCACCTGTAGGGTCACTCAATTTGCTGCTGCTGCTTCTTTTATGAAGTCTCTTTAAGAAAAACTCCATCAGTAGGTCCTTGGCAGGAGAAGTTCCGGCAAGCTGTCACAATGTAATATTTATAGATTATAGTCTGCAAGCAATGGATATATTGTGAATTAGGAATAATAACAAGTGGTTTTGCTTTAAGTCTTGTCTATATTAAAATGCATGATGGTTAATGTGCATAAAGCAAATATTTAAATTATAAATTGATTTAGATATATCTTATTTATTTCTGCTGTTTTACTACCTGAGTGCATAAACAATTACAGCTTTTTAGAAGATGCCACCAGATGTACAGTATTTTACAGTTAACTTATACTATATGAAGATGCCTTTTAAACAATGAGAGTGATGTTCTGACCTCATGGAAAATAATTGGGAAACTTCCACTGACTTCAGCTGAGCCCGTGGTTCATCCGTAGGGACACATTTTTAACAAAGACCTCAAAAGCATTTACTGAGCATGTGGGGCTTTGGTTTAAAAATATACAAACACATCTGTTAACAAAGCAGCTTGGAATTTACTCTCAAAAATAGACTAACTCAAACTTCAGACTATATTAACCTCCCTAGTTCTGTAATTAAAACAATTTACATGACGATTTGGTTTTGCCTCTGCCAAAACCAGGAGTTAATCTGCATAAACAGTGGTTTCATCACTGCAGTTCCACTCTGAGCCTCCATAAATTTATATTTAAGACTATGCAATCGTTCACTTGGACTGCTCCATACCTACATTAATACTGGTACATGTTCCTGTCCTACACATGGAAAAATGTTATTTTTTCCATTCTGATAAGTAAATGCTTGTCTTTGTCAATGCATTGCTTTACTCTTGCAGCTTGTTGGCCCTGACCCTGCAGCATTAGATCTGAATGCTTCCTAGAATTTCATTCACTAACTTATCTCTTCTTCAACTATTATTGGCAAAAAAAACCCACAACATTTTCATTCAATGCCTTAACAGAACTATTATCCGACAATTTACTCTTACATATAGTCTCTTAAAAAAGGCAAGAACTTTACTTTCTTCTCTGCATTGGCTCCGAACTTTAATTTTTATGAACGAGATTTTTCCTCCCACTCATTTTGAGGCATTCTGTTTCTTCTCAGTTGCCCCAAGACCTGAACATCTATACACAGGGAATTTTCAGTGAAGGGGAATGATGCCTCCAGAACTGTTTCCTTGCCAGTTCGCATCTGGTACTCAGTACAAGATCCATCTGTTTATTCAGTGTCTCCAGGGGCTTGTACAGTAGTGGCTATAAGTACGCCTTTTAATTTGATTTTGTCATTTGGGTGGTTAGTAAGTAGTTGACAGTCTGTCTAAATGCAGCAGGGTAGTTGTAACTAGTCAGTCATCATATTCTAGTTGCCAGTTCATAATGCAGTGGACTGCCAGTCACATTTCAACAATTTAAAACTGTATCAGTCATCTCCTACATACTCCCAAATTGTCAACATCAGGAAATGTACTGCTTAATTACCTTTAATTTAATATTATTCCTTGCATGTACGTTTGTACTTAGGATTGTTGCTAGAGCTCTGTAGAGCAGAGTCGTGCAAATCTTGATTTACCTCACTAACCTGTCTAGGTTCGAAGAGTAGGTGAAACTGTGGCATGGTCTTGGATGACCTAGCTGTATCGTAAGTAACAAGGCAGATAAAGATAGAACTTCCTCAGAGCAAAGTCTTGTACCTTGTAAATGCAAAGGTATCAGTACCAGCATCAATTAAACTGGCATGCCAAAGAGCACAAATTATGCCACATATAGATTTATTTCTCCTTCCAAAAAGTGGGATTAGGATTGGTCACAATTTGCCTCCTGCTATGCTTCTCACCTCCTCCTGCGGAGATGTGTTTAGCATGGTAAAAGTACTTTGACCACAGTCATGGCAACTACCAGTAAAACTACTTCTGGAGTACAGATAATTCAGATTATAGTGTGCAGAATCATATATCCCAAGCAGCATTCCAAAAACAAGATAAACTCTTGTAAAAGCCTTCTGAAGCAACCTCTAGCATACGAAACCACAGATAACATGTTAACTTTGGTATGAAACATTGAGATAAGCTCTCCCATGTGTGAATTTTGTACACCTGCGCTAACTGGAAAACATTAGGAAAACAGTTTCTGCCCTGACCTTATCATTTAAGTAATTGCTGATGATAAAATTTAAAATTCTCATCTTATTAACCTGTACTCAGTTTAGCCACAAAAGAAAGAATTGATCCCTGTTAAAACTTAACCCTTACTTAAAGCTGAAATTAATTTAACTAATTAATTTGAGGTTTCATTTTACTATTTATTGACATATTCATTGATCCTCCTCTATTTTTCTTTTTGACTGATTGAAGCTTTCATTCTTGCACTGTCAACAGACCTTTTGGTGAGAAACTCCTGTTTACATCTGTAACTGACTTAATTCTCACATCTTCCGAGCAGTTTCGCTTTGATCTCTGCATTTCTGAGTTTAATCATTAAGTTTACATCAAAAGTTTTTCAGTTGCCGTATCTTTCACAGTTTCCGGGACTCAATTAAGAGAACACAATTCCTGAAAGTTCACTGAGAATTATTTTTTGATAGTTCTGCAGCAAGTACTACACATGCTGGATCTCTGAAATTACAGTATGAACTAGCATGATTCCTATTCCATTTCCATGTATTAAGCGTTTAAACGTCAAGATCTGGTGTGGCTTTTTTGTGTATTTTGTTTGGAATCATACATTAAACATATTGTAGTGTAGGTGGGATTTTTTTTTATTTATCATATACAGGAGGTCTACAGATTTTCTGTAAAAAAGGCAAACAACTCTGGATTAAAATATTAAAAGCCTACAATTTTCTTTTCCGAAGCTCAAGTTTAAAAAGGGGGCTCGTGACAAAGATCCACAGTTTCTCTGAGGACAAAAGGGACAAGAACTTCTATACAGCTCACCTCAAGCACCTTCAATTTTGCAAATAATTACAAATTTGATGAAGACATTCAAAATGAAGGGCACAGGCTGATGAGTAAGCCAGGTAAGGTCTGTTCTGAGTGCTGTGTGAGCTCAGCTGAGCAACGGCAGTCCTTCTGCACAGAGACTCCATGAGTCCTTTTCCTACCTATGGAGTCTTCAGTGATACATGGAATTTATTCAGGTTTTAACAAAGGTGAATAACACTACCTTGTTTCCTTTCAGCAGACACTTCCTTTTGATTTTGATCCAATCATATGAATAAAGATCTTGTTTTAGACTTTGTCTTTAAAACTAAGTGGATGTTATCCTGAACTTACTGTTTTTACGTTATAAACCTTTTTTTTAGTTCATTGTATGAGATGTATTTTTCTGTAATGAATGCTTTTACTGTTAGTACATTTCTGGGCTTACAGTTAAATCATCTTAAGAGATCTCCTACCTTTCTAGAGCAAATTAATATATTGGTCCTAGGCTTTTCATAATGCTTTTGAAACAATTCTGGTATTTTTAGTCCACTATCTAAACACTAAAGACAAACACTACTGCTAAAAAGCCACCAAGCAAAAATAAATCATTAACTGAAAATCAGGAAATAAATTTCACTGTAGAAGAGTCATGAAAAATATATTAAAACATCACTAAGAGAACTCCAAGAAACAACTCCAGAGCACACATTTCTACTAAGCAATAATGACTAGTAATTATCACGTATTGTTCACCATGTGAATGCAGAAGATACGTGACTCAGTGGTGCAAAACATACCGTGCATTCACTTTTCACTCTCTACAGTAACTCAAGACACGTAAGCAACCTGCTCGCTGAAAGCTGTGCATTATGGGTGCATTAAGATTCCCTGAGGGCCAAGTTGCTTGAGTACTGTGCTCCTGGAATACATTTGAGCAGCTCTGTACAAAAGCAGTCCCCAGCCAAACACATGAATGAGAATGGCTGCCCTGTCAATCTTCCACACATACTGCATTCATAGCTATACATCAGGATACCTGGATTGCTACGTCAGATCTTAGCTCTTCCCTTTGCCATGCTTCAGTACAGTTGTTCCCTTACAGTAAAGTTTATTTCCTCTTTTCTTAGTTCCCTGCTTATAAAAACAGGGCAGCACTAGACATTAACATGCAGAAAAGCAAACTGAAACTGAGAGCTACCACCCCAACGGCAATATGATCCTGCCATCCTAAATATCCCCAGTACTCTGCCTACCCGCTCTCGTGCTGTTACCCAGAAAGCTGTAGC